ACGACGTCATCAGGGCGCCTTTATGCAAACAAACAAACGAAACACCAAACCACATAAAGGGTGGGGTGGGGGGAGATCACTGAAAATCCCATAGCCCACAGATAACCATTGTTAACACTTTGGCATAATTTCTGAGGTTTATTTCTACAAGTAAATAAAGGTAGGCATGTGTGCCTGCACGTGCACACACCCCTGCCCCTGCCCGCGCACACAAGCACCTGGTAGCTTAGTGGTTAAGGACTTCACTGGCAATTTAAACCCACCACTCACCACCTCACTAAACAGGAGAAGAGTGTGGCCATCTCCTGGCATAAGGATTTACCGCCTGAGGAACCCTGTCCGAGAGCTCTACTCTGTCCCAATGGGTCACTATTAGTTGGAATTAACTAGACAGCAGTGGATCTGGTGCACTGATCAGGTGCTTGGTTGCTAATCTAAAAGTCAATTGTTGGAACCCACAAGTCACTCCAAGGGAGAAACGTAGGTATATGCAAGGGACTTCCAAAAATTCATGAACATGGAATTTAAATATGAAAAATATGTATCAATTACATTTCTCAACGTAATCTCCATGGAGTTCAAGGCATTTTTGTAAGCAATGATAACAGCCATTTAGGCCATCCCTAAAGAACTGAGGGGCCCTGGAAATTTAATCATGTCAGTGAAGTTTTTTATATTACTAGCTGAAGAAAAATGGGCGCCCTATAAATATTAAGATTAGGAAACAAAAAGAAGGCAGAAAGAGCCACATCAGGTCTGTAAAGTGGATGCCTAGTGATTTCCGCTGGAAATGCTCATAAAAGTTCCCTTGTTTGATGAGAGGAAAGAGTAAAAGTATTGTCATGGTGGGGAAGGGCTCTCTAAGGAAGCTTTTCCGGGTGTTTTGCTGCTAAAGCTTCCTTGGCTAACTTTCTCAAGCGGCTTTCATAATAAACAGATGGTATCGTTCTTCGGCCCTCCAGGGAGTCAAGAAACAATGCCTGGCGTATTCCCCCAAACCACTGCCATGATCTTTGCTCTTACTCACCCAGTTTTGCTTTGACTGGATCACTTCCACCACTGGGCAGCCATTGCTTCGATTGTGCTTTGCCCTCCGGATTGTACTGGTAAAGCCATGTTTCATCTACTGCTAGTCTTCCAAGAAATGCTTCAGGATCTGAACCCTACTTCTTTAAACTGTCATTGAAGGCTCGGCTCTTGTCTGCAGTTCATCTGAGCACAAGTCTTGGCATCCACGAAGCAAAACGTTTGCTCAGCCTTTTCGATCTGAATTGTGTAAACTCAATCGATTGAGGTCGACAATGTTGACTCTTGCTTCTATTGTTAACCATGAATCAGAACAAGATGCTTTTCTCACAGCGTGAGATGGATGGTCTAATACTGTGGGTTTCATCTTCTCAAAGCGAGTTCTCTATCCATTTGTAAACTGCTGATCTCTTTGGAGAACGGCCCTCACAAACTTTTGCAAAACGTAAATGGTTTCACCATTCCTCCACTCAAGCCTCATCATGAATTTGATGTTTTTTACTGCAATTTTTGTACAATTCATGCGGCTGACAGGGGTTCTTTCTTCTGAGTTTTTCAACTAGATCCCATTTAGACACGCTGTAACAAGTTAGCGTGAGTTTATTCTGGTGCAAAAATCCATAGTTTTTCATAATATGTACTTCCCATAAACCTATTGAAGACCTATCCTATATACACATATGAGTTCTCCAAAAAGTTCATGGAAAAATACTGAAAAGGTAATGAAATTTCTTCCAGGAACCTTTGAAGCATCTTCAGATATAGTTACCATTTACTGAGTATGCCAGGAACCTTGGCATTTCCTTCATATGTATTACCCCTTATAACTCTCCCAATAGTCCTATGAGAATACATTATCATTCTTACTTTATACAAGAGTGAATTGAGGCCCAAGTTCATGTAGTTAGTGAACTGGTAGCTGTGAGATACAAATCTCGATGCAATTCTAAAGTTCATGATTGTAACCATTATGTTGTACTGCTGCCTATATATTTATACTTATAAAATCAAATTGGAATTTTCTTACAAATGGTTTTATCTTTGATTTTTTTTATTGTAAGGTATTTTCCAATAACAATTTATATCCTCTACTAAGCTAATGTAATGATTTTATGATATCCCATAAGATTATTAAAATAGCATGCTTATCACACAGTAGTCTGGTAAAGGATAGATGAGATAGATGTTCTAATGTTTCCGTTTACTTCTGTCACTTGTTTTCTTAATTTTTACTTTTTAAATTCCCTGATTTCCTTTGTGTTTTACTACACGAACTGCCATATGTTCGCTTGCTTTTGCAATACAGATTAATGCATTGGAAGTTACACATCCTGTTTTTCTGCTGCAGGCGCTTCACCCTCAGCTAAAAAACCCTCTTGTTCAATAGCACAATGAACTAATAGCGCTTGATTTCTCCTTTGTAAGACCGGGCATTTTGCATACCTTTATTTCTCCTGATTCCTTACCTCCCACACTCTGACCCTCTTAACTTGGTTTTGTTAATACAATCTTGCTTTTTACTTTGATTATTCTTTTTGGCAAAATGTTTTCCTTTTTTTCACATTATACATCTTTTTTTCTTTTGCAAGTGTTATTTTAGACATTGAAAGAAAGTTCTTTAATGCATAAATTATTTTATGCCGTGACTTCCTTTTTCTTTATTCTCGAGTTCTCATTCAGCAGAAGTATAGCTTTAAGTAATTTTCTTTCAGGACAGATTACTTGAGTGTTTTCATTTTTGGGCTCTGTATAGA